CCATTGGTGACAGGACACTTGGCGCCCCATAAGGCCTTGGGAGTCAGGGTCCAAAGGCAAATTCCACTGATCTGACAATTTTGCCCAGAACTGCATGTGTGTGTGTGTGTGTGTGTGTGTGTGTGTGTGTGTGTGTGTCCTTGTCTCATTAAAATACTGTTCTTCTTAGGGGTGCACTGCCAAAACATAGACCCCACTAGTATTTTTCCCAAGTCCCTTTCTTGAACTGACACTCTATCTCTCCTGGCACATCTCTGCCCTCCCTTTCATGTCTGCTTTTGGGATCTGAGGGTTCCTGAGTCTTGCCTTTGCTGGAGACAAGGCCATATCTGGTAACTGCAAACCTACAAGCCCAGAGATGCCAGGGTGGAATGTATGAACCCCAGCTTGGAGCCCTGCAGGCAAGCAACCTGGTATCCTAGACTAGGCAAGGCTTTGGTGTCTTGACTACAGGAAAGAAGGCTGGGCCCTGCTCGGGATCACTGGGCAGCAAACAGGCTGAGCAAGTTCTTAAAGATGGGGCTCCCAAGGTTTTGGCAGGGATTTCTGCGAAAGCTGAGCTCCTAGAGAGTACAAAAGAAGTCAGGATGTGGCAAAGACCCAAGCCAGGAGAAGGAAGGCCTGAACACCAAAGACCTTTCACACACACACACTGCTATCAAGCGCTAGGAAGGTTTTTCTACCCCTTCCTGGGTTTTTTTCCCCAATCATCATTATCCAACCTAGGATGGAATCATTTATTCATTTATTTATTCAATATATATTAATTGACAAGACCCCCCCCACTTAAAAAAAAAAAGGCAGCGGAGAAAGACTTAGTTTTAGAATTATAGAACCTGGGATCAAATCCTGTCTCTGTCAAAGACCTGTGTGACTTTGGACTAGTCACTTTTCCATCAGCCTCAGTTTCCCCCTCTGTAAGATGAAGAGATTGGACTACATCAGGGATTCTTAACGCTTTTTGTATCATGGATCCATTTGGCATTGTGGAGAAGCCTATGTATGTCTCCTCAGAATAACATTTTTAAGTGAATAAAACATAATACACCAGATTACAAAGGAAGTCAATTCCACTGAAATATGGTTATACGCATATGTCCAATTACCTGCCTTTTCAATGGGGAAATGGGGAAAGAGGGGAAAGAATTTGGAACTCAAAATTTGGGGGGAAAAGAATGTTTGAACTGTTTTGCATGTAATTGGGGAAAATATTAAATTAGATTTTTAAAAAATATAGTTATACAAATATGTAGGATTTTGTTTTTGTTGTTGTTGTTTTTCAGTGAGGCAATTGGGGTTAAGTGACTTGCCCAAAGTCACACAGCTAGGAAGCATTATGTGTCTGAGGCCAGATTTGAATTTAGGTCCTCTGACTCCAGGGGTGGTGCTGTATCCACTGCACCACCTAGCTGCCCCTATACAAATACGTTTTAAAGAAGCCCAAAGATCCTAGGTTCAGAATTTGGGAAAATACATGAGTAGGCATGTGTAAGTATCTACACGGATGCTCACAGACAAAGCTGGCCTCTTAGGCAAAAGGGACAGCTGTCTACGTAGTGTGATGTGAGTGGCCTGGGAAGATCCTTCTGTCCCCAAATATCTCCCCAGTGGATGTTTGCAATTCCGTAATTAATGATGTTGGGAGCTAGGTGATGCGCTGGATAGAGCACTGAGTTTGAAATCAGTAAGACTCATCTTCATGAGTTCAAATCCAGCCTTAGATACTTACTAGCTGTGTGACCCTGGGCAAGTAATTTCACCCTATTTGCCTCAGTTTCCTCATCTGTAAAATAAGCTGTAGAAGGAAATGGCCAACCACTCCAGTATCTCTGCCAGGAAAATCCCAAATGGGGTCACGGAGAGTCAGATATGACTAAATGTCAACTAATGACATCACTCCTTGGGTTCAGAATTGCTTTCTTCAGGATTCTCTCTTAAAATACAACCACCAGAGAGGTGAGGGAGTTGAGGTATCACTTGAAAAATATATCTTCCCACATGGTGAATGCATGGAATAGCTGTGCCCACTTATGCTTGTTTGTTACCAAGTTGTGGGAAGGTTGGAAAGGAGAAGAGAAATGGCAACAGTGATGTTCTCCTCCCCCATCTTAAAAAAAGTAAAAAAAGGATAAGAATTATTGAAGCCCTTTTTAAAAACATACAGAAACTATTGTGTTATAAGAAATGATGAACAGGCAGATTTCAGAAAAACCTGGAAAAACTTGTGCGATCTGATGCTGAGTGAAGTGAGCAGAACCAGGAGAATGTTGTACACAGTAACAGCCGCGTTGCACGATGACTAATATTGATAAACTTAACCCTTCCCAGCAATATAAGGATCTAAGACATCTCCAAAGGCCTCATGATGGAAAATGCCATCCACATCCCAAGAAAGAACTACGGAGTTTGAATGCAGATCGAAGCATCCCGTTTGCTATTTTTTTTTTCTTCTGTTGTGTTTTGTTTCCTCTTTCTGGTGGTTCCTCCTATTGGCTCTAATTCTTACAACATCACTAATGTGAAAATATGTTTAATAGAAATGTATATGTATAGCCTTTATCAGATTGTGCACCATTTTGGGGAGGGAAATGGAGAAAAATTTGAAGCTCAGAAGCTTATGGAAGTGATTGTTGATAATTCAAAATAAATTAATTTAAAAAAAATAAAAAAATAAAAACAAAGAAGAAAACAGAAGGGGGTTGAGCAGGAGACACAGACAAGCAGGACAGCTGTGAAACTTTGTTGGGCTTATTATAGAATTCTGAAAAGAGATCAAAGTGATACAAAGTGGAGATGTGTGGTTTCATATGTAATCTCCTTTTCCCTTTCTTTCGTATGGAAATGCTCAGCTTGTCAAGTCCAAAATAACCCCCCAGATGATCTTCATTTACTGTGTGTATGGAGGAGCGGGGAAGGGGAGCTAAGTCTGTGGGAGGGGCTCCAGGAGGGCTCGGCTAGATTTGGTCCGAGGTCTGTTCCACCTTTGCCAAGATTGGGGGGTTGGGGGCAGGGGGGAACATGTTCGCCAGCAACACCTGGGGGGAGGGTGAAAGGAGGGAGGCAGGAAGAAGTCTGTAATGTTTAGGCTGGGTGATATTTCCTACAGTCTCCCCACCCTGTGATTAGGGGACAGACACCTCAGTTAAAGTCAAGGGAGGAAGGGCATGATCTCACCATGATGTCCACTCTCAGCGGTCTCTAGATGTGCAGGCCCTGAGGTCAAGGAACACGACAGAACGCAGGCTTGTCGGTGCCTGGGGCTCCAGTCTGCCCTTCAAAATTTTGCAGCTCATCTCTCTATTTCTCTCTGTGTCTCTCGCTGTCTCTGTGTGTGTCTTTTTCTATCTCTCTGTCTCTCCTCTGTCTCTCTCTGTTTCTCTGTCAGTCTCTGTCTCTCCTCTCTGTCTCTCTGTTTCTCTGTCATTCTCTCTGTGTGTCTCTGTCTGTCTCTCCTCTCTGTCTCTCTGTCTCTCTGTCTCTCTCCTCTGCCTCTGTTTCTCTGTCAGTTTCTGTCTCTGTGTGTCTCTGTCTCTCTATCTCTCTGTCTCTGTTTCTCCCTCCCTCCCTCTCCTCCCTCCACCATGCCCCCAGGTCCTCCCTCAAAGTGTCCTTGCAGCCAGTCAGGGGTCTTATCTCCCTCCGGTACCTTGCACAGGGTTGTCCCCGCTTCTCACCTGAGTGGAAGTGGGAATTCAACTCACAGAAGTAACCACTTCTCTTGCCCCTATAGCCCCCACAGTCATCTATTCATATATGGCTCTTATCTGCGGGGACTGAGGTTAGGCATGGGATGGCCCTGGAGGACTGTCAGTGGAGAGCTGAAGTGAAAGCAAAGGCAGCTGGGAGAGGGGAGTCTAGGGGAAAGTGGGACAACAAGTCCCTTTCGGAGTTCTGCCTCGGGCTATGTATGGGCAAAGGTCAAGCCCAGCCTGGGGAAAATAAATTCCTTGTGTCACTGCTGCCCAGGGTCCACACAGAGGTGGGTCCACATCCTTCTCCAGCTTGTCATTCCATGGCTCCTTCTTGCTGTCAGGTACCTGGCTCCACAAGAAATACTAGCTCTGGGATCACAGGGCCTGGGTTCAAATGCTGACTGCCATTGAATACCTGCATGATTTGTGATAAGTCATTTTACTTTCTCAAGGTTCAGTTTTCTTATCTATAAAAGGGGAGAGAGTTTGGACCAGATAGCTTCTCAGGTCTAAGGGCAGAAAACTATTTCAAGGTGGCCCGGAATTGTTAAGAAGTTTTTCCTTAACATCGACCTCACTTCAACTTCCAATCTATGGTCCTTAGGGTGCAATGGTCAAGTCAATTGTAGTGAATCTTATTTAAAATCAGAGTGAGAGACTTTGCCTTCCGAAGGGATTGGCCGTAAGATTCTTAGGAACAGAAGCTTCCTCTGGGAACTTAGTGGCTATCCTTAAAGGTAAGGACTACAGTCTAACCACTTGGAGGGTGGAGGGGAGGGGGAGAGGCCAACAAATCCACCCATCAATCAATAAGCTTTTATTAAATGCCGCTGTGTACCAGGAGCCAAGCTAGGTGCTGAATAGGTTATCATAGGACTTTCTGAAAACATCTTTAGTGTCACTTTTTAAAATAAATCTGTGCAATAACCCCAAGATAAACCAACAGGCTCCCTTTGTTTCCAACCCAGAATTCGATTCCACTTAAATATCTAATGTAAAAGGCTGTGGAGTGGAAGAGAATTCTGGTTCCCAAAGACCCTTTATGATGCAACAGCTAGGAGCATGGAGTCTGGCCCAGGCAATGGGTGGTTGGGGGGGAGGGGCTGCCAAGATGTTTCCTCTATCCTATGGGCCATCTGGTGATCATTAAAACTGTCAATAAATTAAAAGCAACGACTCGTCAGGAAAATTCCAGCCGAAACCACCAAAAGTTTTTTTTTTCTCTTAAGTGTGGGAAAAACTAACAAAATTGGAATTTTCAGCTTTTATCCAGGCTAGAACATTAAATAGAATAACTTTAACCTCATTTCCATTTTTTAATTATTATTTTTGGTTCTTTTTGGATGAGCCACATGCCAGTGGGGAGACTCTTCTTCTCTCTATCTCCGGTAGAAGCTTCCTCATCCCTTTCACCTTTGCCACTAAGTGCTTCCAGAGAAGACACTGGGGGCTTTCTTCCTCCACCTAGTCTTTCTCATCACCATGGGTGATGACATAGCACAGGTTCTTGTAATCGAGATTGCCACGCACATCTGGAGGGAAAGCTGTAAACATCTGTTTGATCTGGAAAATAAATTCGAGAAACAGGCATCCACAGGGTGGAGAAGGGGGAGGAGAAGAACCCCAAATCCTGTCCAGCTGGCCTCCTGTCGGACAAAGACATGCCTTGTCCAGTCTCACTGGAGCAAGAGGTCTGCTCCGAACCCTTGTCCAAGTCCACTGAACCCTCCCAGCCTTTGCTGAGCTCAGGAAAGCCTCGAGCTCTCCTCCCCATATGGATCCTAACCAGGCCTTTCCTGGAGGGTCACAGACCATCCCAGCATCCAAGCACTGGTGGGAACCGCTGAGGTCACCGAGTCCAGCCTATCCCCAGACCTTCCTTGGACTCAGTCCCTTGCTCAGTTAATCAAGGAAAAATCGCCATTTCCCTTCCCAGCCCACAGTATGTGTGAGGAATGAATGTGCAGAATTCTTCGGAGAATCCATATTTGGGCATCTGAGACAGTGGCATTATTTTCCTCCAGAGTCACCCACCAGTAAGAGTCCCCCAAAGAAAAGTGAGGCTGAGTTCCTACCCTCAAGAAGCTTACAGTCTTGTTTTTCAGACCAAACCTGTGATTTCGTCAGTATAAGCAGCTAGGTGGGTAAATAGATAGAACTCTGGGCCTGGAATCAAGAAGACCTGAGTTCAAATCCAACCTCAGAGGCTTACCCAACTGTGTGACTCCAGGCAAGTAATTTAATCTCTGTTTGCCTCAGTTTCCTCAACTATAAAATGGGGATCATAACAGTACCCAACTCTCACTGGGTCGTTGTGAAGAGCAAATGAGTTAATATTTGTAAAAAGCACTTGGCACAATGCTTAGCACATCGTAGGTGCTGTAAAGATGCTTATTCACTTCCAATCCACCAGCATCTGTTCAGTAACTTAAGAGTCTTAGAGAGTGACCTAGGGTCCCTGAAAAGGAAAATGACTTGCCCAGGGTGACACCAGTAGTATGTATCAGAGACTGGACTTGAACCCAGATCTTCCTGACTCTTAGGTCAGCCCCCTGTCCACTATCTCATGGTTGTCTGTCTACAATCTAGCAGGGAAATGTAATAATAACAATTCATTTACTGAGCATTTTGCAAAGTGCCTGCTTTCCTCACAACCACCCTGCAGGAAAAGATAACAGCAGCATTGGCCTCACTCTACGTGGATACAGAGGGAATCTTTGTTTTTGTCAGTGTAGGGAATTCCTGGGATCAACCAATCAATCTTCAGCAAAACTTACTTTTCTAGGTGAAGGAAAACAGGTCCCCACCCTGAGAGGAAGGGACCTTGCAAGGTCATCACATCCATCCCCCTGCCTCTGGGGAGGATTGTACCTTGTGCATAGAACAATCAAATCCCGAGGACAGAAAAGATGACCTTACCTCCTCCTCGCTGAACCGGTCTGCCTGTGTCATGAGCCTTTCTTTGATGCTGTTAAAATGAAAACAAAGCAAATTACTCCATTTCATGGCAGGAAACCATCAGGCCTTGGAATCGTGGCCGTGATCCTGTCTCTAAGACTCAGTCTCTTCTTCTGCACAACATGGGGAATGAGCCGAATGCTCCCTAAGCTGCCTCCCAGGCCTCGTGCTGAGGGATTGTTCCAAACGTGGTTGCGTGAAGCCATGTTCTGGTCCAGCCGTGGCCAGAGACCCCCCACAGCTTCCTCCCCGGTGAGGACACCGGCCACATTTAGAAACAGCATCAGGGATTTATCTCCCTCCTTCCCATGTTATTTATTACTGAAGTTATTTGCCTTGAAACAGAATATTGTTTTCTCCAGCTAGCCGGCTTCTGCTTCTTATTCCTCTGGGTAATAAGCTACAGATGATCATTCTCCCAGTTGGTGATGGCTCCGTCTTCCCTTCCTGCCTCTCACTGTGCCTCTACTCCCTCACTCTGGAAAACCTGCAGCCGTCATGAATCATGGAGGGTTGGAACTGGTGGGACCTTCGCAGTACAAATGGGGAAACTGAAGTGGAGAGGGAGAAGTGTCTTTCTCCAAGTCACACAGCAAGTTAATATAAGAATCAGAATTAGATCCCACATCTCCATTCTCCTACTGGCTGCTCCTGGGCAGGTCCCTAAGAAACTTCCAAAGAATTCTTCCTCAATTCTCAGCCTTCAGAGATGACCCTGCTTGGAAATAAGACCACTAGGATGATACAGCAGCACCCCCCTTCAAAGCCAGATCTAAAAAGCGAGAAATGATGCCTCAGTGGCATTCCCTCCCCCAGCCCCCTTCAAGGCCCTGAGCTGTGATTAGAACCCAGCACCCAGGCACTATAATATTGGCTTATTTTTCCTCCACTTATTTGTTCTTTCTATCCCTCACAGCCATCAAAAGTCATCCCCCTTCCTCATACCAAAATCCTCTTCCAAAAAGAGCTCCCTGCCTCCCCCATCAGATCCAGCCCCCCAGCCCACCAAAGCTGGTCCATTTCTTGGTTCGTTTTCTCCTAAAGTTTTTAAGGCTCAGGATTAACTAACCTTCTACGGGGCTCCAGGGCAAATGATGCAGTTGTCCAAGCTGCAGGATGTGGGGAAGAATCAGGTAGATTAGTCCCTTCCTAATCCCTGAAATTCCCCTTGGGTTGGAGTCTTAATTCTTTGGGCTCAAGATTGCCCTCTCCAGGCACCTCGCTCAAAATGCAAGCACTACCACAAATCTCTAGCAGATTGGAGACAGAAAGATCATTAGGCTTCAAAGTATTTATTACAGACCTTTTTGAAATAGCAAAGAACTGGGGCAAAGGAGGAACTCATCAATCCGGGAATGGCTGAGCAAACAGGAATGTAATGGAATTTTACTTCACTATAAGAAATGGTGTATGTGACAAATTCAGAGAAGGATGAGAAGACATATGAAATGATGCAGAGGGAAGTGAGTAGAATCAGGAAAACAATATGCACAATGACCATGATAATGTAAATAGAAAGAACAAAAAAAGCACTGAAAGCTGTATAATTATAATGGTCAAGCTTGGGTGGTCCCTAAAAAGAGGGGAGAAAATGTGCCCTCATTTTACAGATGAGGAAACTGAGGCTTATCCACCTAATTATTTCAAAACTTCAAAATGAGATTAGTCACCAAATTTTAGGGTCATGGTTTTAGAACTGGAGGGGAAATTAAAGGCCATTCATTCCTGTCCTCTTATTTTACAGATGAGGAAACTGAGGCCCAACAGACAAATAACTGCACATCCTCCATGTAGAAAGACCTTAAAGGTCATCTAGTCCAAGTCTTCATTTTACAGATGAGGAAACTAAGCCCTAAAAAGGTAGTGAGAGAGAGAGGCAGGAGTGGAACTTAGCTCTTCCCACTGCATGGACAGCTGGTTTTATCAGCATTTTCCCCTGGGACTCCACCATGATTTCCCCTGACTTGCATGTCTCTGGAAAAATGGGCATAGGACTTTCTGCAGCATTTCCTGCCTTCCTCTCCCCTCCCCTCACCAAGGTCTGCCATCTCTTAAGTCCTCAGAGGTGCCTTCCATGCATTTTATGGGAGATGCCACCCCTTGTCCCATTGGGCAGTGAAAGCATCATGGGTTGTGAAGGTCAAGGTCATGGCGGTGCTGATGAGGGGATGATCATCCCCCAGCATATAGACATAAACTTGACAATCTTGGGCTTCATGGGCCTACATTTCTACTGGAAAATTTGAACTGAATGCTCTTACTGGAGGAAGTATGAGCATGGGGGAGGGGTATGGAGAATCCAGTGTCTAATTATAATCTTCTGATGCCCGGCTCACCCTCCCTCCCCTGGCAAGGGCACAAGGAAACCAAGTTAAAGACCTATGTGCATTTTCCATTATTTATTTTATAGGGGAAGGAGAAGTCACAGTTTCCAATGTTGAAAGTTCTGTCCTTTTCACATACTATTTATTTCTGGAAGAAAAACAAAAACTTCCCCCCAAACAAGACAACAACCAGAGCCTTCTGGTGCCTTTACAGAAATTCGTGCCTAGCGTCTTGATGTGGGTCTCTCACTGATGAACAGTCTGGCCAGTATCAACTGGTTCTAATATTGAAACTATTTTGCTGTTCCTTTGATTTGCATACAATCTTTTAAAAGATTATCATTGGAATCTTCGGGGCAAGTGACTTCCCCTGATCCAGCAGCACATGGAACGAGGGCAGAGGAAGAAGGAAGGGGGTGGGGAGATGGGGGCCTCATCATGGGGACCTCAGGAGAACCACATTATTGGGAACATACTAGGAGAGGCTGCTGTCAACTCCCTGAATTCTCTCTCCCTCCACTCCTGGGGGAGGAAGGATGTAGAAGGTACCAGGGGATCTGTTAGAAGTGAGAAAAGAGGGCCAGGGCTGTACATTGGTAAAATATACTGCCCCCTGCCCATCTGGAGACCCATTCCAACCTCCAGCAGATGGCCCACATGAGTCAGAACTTTCCAGACGAGAGGTGAAAATGCAAAAGGAGATGGGACACAAGCCATGCCCACCCCCACCCCCCCGCCGGTTCATATGGAGATGAACAAAATAAATGTTGATTAAAGGTCATCGAGGCTTTTTTTCCCCTCGAATTATTTAATTATTTTAATATGGAACACAATTATCGTTAAAACTTAAAGTTCTAAAATATGACATTAATTGGGCTTCGAAGATCCATCTTGAAGTGGGGAAGAAAAGCATCAGCCCAAGAATCTGTTACAAAACCTTCAAATCTCTAACCCAGGGGAGCCCATGAGTACAAAGGGAAACCTCAAAGACATTTCAGGAATTGATTAAATGGTTTGCTCAGTAATGATCAGCATTACCCTCAGGTCTAATAAGGAAACATCACGGTCTCCAGTGGGGACAGACTAAAGCAACTGTCTACTTTGAACAGAGCAGAGAGAAGGGAGCTCTGACCTTTCAAGAGAGGGGAGTTTGGCTGGGGGGAGGGAACTGTCTTCATTTTCACTGTGAAATACAAGTATCATCTATAGGAAATAGACCAAGAGAGTCTGGATTGAAAGGCGCATTGCTGCTGACTGCAATTCCCACTGGGATTCCCCTGCCTCATTTCTCGCCTTGTAACCTATGTCCATTTCAGAAACTCACTTTAGATCCCCTTCAGGTCATCTAACAGCATTTCTCGAAAATCATCTCTTAAATAATCTCCAGATTTATTCAAAAAGCTCCCAGCCTTGCTACTGTTTGTCAATGCCCTTTCAAGGACCCAGTCAACCACTGAAGAGGGAGGCATTGGACAAAACCCAACCCTGTGTGACCTTGGGCACATCATTTAACCTTGCTGTGGCTCAGTTTCAGCTTAGAGTCCATGAATCCCATGAGCCAAAGCTTCAGAGACCTATACCTTGAACTTCGATCATGTCACACTTTGGGCCCAGTAGCCATTATATAGAATCGGTGGATTTCAGAACTGAAAGGGACCTCAACTACCAATCAATCCATACCTTGGAGGGGAGGGGGCATGCTGGAGCCAGCTTATATCAGCTTATAAGAGCTGATTGTTAAATGTTCAGCGTGAGCATTAACATCTCAGAAATTGGCAAATACTACACACCAGAGATATTATGGAGGTAAAGTCAATTTGGCAACAGATTGAATATGGGGTGGGGGGCGAAGAGACAGTGAAGACTTGAGGGTGACACTTAGGTTGGGAGCCTGAGAGCCTGGGAGGATAATGTTGCCCTCTACAGTACTAGGGAAGGCAGGAAATGGGTAGGGTTTAGGGGGAAAGATAACAAGTTTGGTTTTGGACATAATGAGTTTAAGATGTCTCCTGGATGTCCAGTTTGAGGCATCACCATGGTCTTTCTGCTGTCTTTCTACACAGTGGAGAGAGAGGACACATTTGTCTTAGAGTGGATCCTTTAACAAAACTAAACAGTGAGTAGTTATAATGACCAAACCTGGTCCTAAAGAAGAGATGAGAAAATATCTTTCCCCTGTGTGTCCCAGGGATGATGCCATAATTGTCTACCTGTCTAGGAATAGAGACAAGATGAAGAAATGCTTTCCCTTGTGTCACTCCAAATGTGGGGAGCCATGCAAAATGCTGTTCACTTCATACTTCTTCTTTCCTTAGAGAAGAAGAGGACTACGGATGGAAAATTTTTCATATACTGTGCGGTGTCATCGCTATGGTAATTGGTATTGCTTGTTTGTTTTTCTTTGTTACAAAGGGAGACTTACTAGGTGGGCTGGAATAGGGGGATTATATCTGGAATGACTGTGATTTTTTAAAGTCATCAATAAAATGTTCATTTAGAAAAAAATGAAGGGGTCCTTTTGAAAGGTGAACTTACAAGTCTGCCTTAAGGAAACCTTTTCCTTCAACATCAAAAATCTTGAAAGCATGCAGGATGGTCTCTTCTGGATCTGTGCCTGGAAGGACAAAACAGACAAAGAATGTTTCATGTGGCCAGGAGTCCCTGCAGAGAAGCCAAGGCTAAGGAGAGGTAGGGTCTGCTTCAATAAAATCAGGATGGTCATGGTAAAGGACAGGCTTCTTCACCAAATCCCATAACTTTTCTCTTCCCTCCCTTGAAGTTTAGACTAATTTTTTTTGAAGTGGGTCCTTTATTTTTTTTTCTAAATTAAGGTTTTATTGATGCCTTTTAAAAAAAAAAATCAGTCATTCCCCTACTCCTGCCCACCCAGGAAGCCTTCCTTTTGTAACAAACTAGAACAGCTAATTAAAATCAGTTTTGGAAGGGACCCTAGAGGTTAGCTACCCCTCCCCCCCCCAACCCCTTGGTTTTACCAAGGAGGAAAGCAAAGCCCAGTATGGTTGAATGACCTATCCAAGGTCACACTCAAGCTAATGTCATAGCTGGGACTAGAATGGAAGTCCCCTGCCTTACTGGAGGCATGCATGGAAATAGCAGAAAGCTGGATGACATCAGTGACCAGTCAATAGTTCTTCTTGGCTCATCCTAGCATGAGTATGAAGAATAGTGAAATTCAGCTGCGGAGACAGGCTCCTATCAGGAGGTAAGGTACCTCAATAATTTTGTCCTCAAGATAATAGGGAGTCACTGAATATTTATAAGCAAGAGAGAGAGAGAGAGAGAGAGAGAGAGAGAGAGAGAGAGAGAGAGAGAGAGAGAGAGGGTTCATTAGAAAGATTAAAGCAGCCAGCATGGGGAGGATGGATTATGGTGGTTATCATCCTCCTTCACTTTAATTGCTGCTTATCATAAGCTGAGGGTCATTACAGGCAGCACTTGGGTTTGATAGAAGCCAGATTTGGGGAGGGGGTGGAGAGGGAGTTTGCAATGTGGTCAAATACAGCAAATGAGACTTATTAGTTTTATTATTATTTAAATGAATACACCTTGCTCAGGGCTATTCCTTCCGTTTTCAAAGGGTAATGGACTTGACCGATTATTGCTTAGTGAGGTTTTTGGTGGTTGATACTGTAGTTTTTAAATTTGGGGTTGGGGAGTTTTAAAGGTGCTATTTTCTTGATAGGTGGAGCAGTGGAGAGACCCTGGAGCCAGGAAGATTCATCTCTCTGAGTTCAAATCTGGCCTCAGGCATTTACTAGCTGTGTGACCCTGGGCAAGTCACTTCACCCTATTTGCCTCAGTTTCCTTATCTGTAAAAATGGGCTGGAGAAGGAAATGGCAAACCGCTCCTGTAGCTCTGCCAAGAAAACCCCAAATGGGGTCACGAATTGTCGGACACAACTGAAATGACAGAATGGAACAGCTGTGAGCTAAGTGCTAGGGATATAAAGAGGCAAAAACATCCATCCCTGGTACGAAGGTGCTCCCAGTCTAATAGGGAGACAACATGCAAAGAAATATGTATGCACAGGATAAATTAGAGAGATCAGCATAGGAGAAGGCATGATTCCAGGTCTCTGTCTATGGGCCTATGAATTTCAAGGCCAGGTGCAGGGAAGATTCCCATTCCCAGGGTGAGAATGGGGCCTGTTTGGAGCCAGACTCCACTGCGTGTGGGCAGGAGATGGTTTGTGGGGGTGTGGGGAGGCTTCCTTTCTTTCCTTCCTGCATGCAAACTGCCTCTTCTCCCCTGCACTAGACACGAGGCCCAGCACAGCCAGGCTGCACCAGGCAGCCTTTATTGATTAGCTGGTAAATAGAGCGGCCCTTTTGATGTGCCTGCATCCCTGCTTTCTGGACAAATTGCATTACTCTGTTTCCCTGTAGCTACAGTTCCATGTGGATGGCATTAACATAAATGGAGTTTTGTTAGCTGTTCATCTGGCACCGTAATATCAATGTACAAGGCTCGGTCTTGTCTCCAGAATCCCAGCTCACCCTTTATGACAGAAATCAATTACAGCGCCGCAGATTTCCCAAGGAAGGCACCTTTCAGCATCCTCTTGGAACCGTGGTTGCAAACGAAAATCCCAGTCCGATGGCCAGGTCTGGCTCCCTGCGTTCTGTTCCCTTCCTGACTCTCTGGTCCCACTACAAAGGCTCTTCATCCCAATTAGCTTTGATTGGCTCCGAGCAGCCTTTTGGCTCAGCATCGTTTGCATGACAAAAGCCCAGCCAGAGGGGCCTGACAGGCCCAGCTGTTTCCCCCTTGTCAAATGGAAAAAAGCTGGCCTCCTCCTGGCCAAGAGGAAGCCTGAGGATGGCGGACTGGGGACGTGGCACCCGCTTCCCGAGGCCTAGGGCTCTCGGTGACATGAAGGTGGGACCCGGAGGAGGGGGCTAAGGTCAGAGAATCAAGAGAGGGAAAGAGGAGCAGGGACCCCGGCCTGTGCATCTCCTCCAGCCCCATCATCTTTCAGAAGAGGAAACTGGGGCTCTGGGTGGAGAAGTGACCTAACCAGGGTCACACAGCTGGTAATCACAGCCTCACAGACCCAGAGTTGGAAGGCCTCCTCAGAGGCCATCCAGTCTAATCCCTTCATTTACTGATGGGGAAACTGAGGCCCACAGTGGTGAACGGTGTGTAGGATTGTACAATGATGAATGTAGGTCAAGAAGGGACTTCAGAAGCCACGAAGTCTGACCCTCTCATTTCACACATGAGGAAACTGAGGCCCAGAAACGTGTAAGTGACTTGCCCTAGGTCACACAGGTAATAAGCGTCAGAGGAGGATCTGAATCCAGATCCTTTGACTCCAGGGCCATTTTCCTTTTCACCAGACTGAGCTGCCAGGGTAGTCTTTCCCAGTTGTCTGTCTCAGCCAATTCCTAGGTTTCTTTCCCCTGCACAGTACAATACAGACCGGCCCTGAATTGGTGTCAGTTAAGGCAAACATAGCTCTTAATTCAAAGCTACTAGAGAGATCCCCTTTTATTCCTAAATCAAGCCATCAGATAATCCCAATTCAGTTCGTTCAAAGTCCATCCCCGAATCCCTTGTGTTTCACGTTAACAAGGTTCTGCTGTAACTTTTGGATAATAGTTTTCACTGGGAAACCTGAAAACAAGCACTATGGCTCTAAGCTTATTGGTAGGAGTATATCCCTCCTGGTCACTTCTGAGCTGACCCTTCCAAATGGAGCCAGACCAAGACATGTGCTCCTCCTGGAAGAATTATGAGGCCCATTGGGCCATGGGAAGAAGAGAAAAGTAACTAACTTTGAGGTTGGGAGAAAGGAAGGAGGGGGAGGAAAAGGACAGAGGAAGAAAGAAGAGGAAGGGAAGAGAAGAAAAAGAAAGGAGAAGGAAGGGGAGGAAGGAGGAAAGGGAAGAAGAAGAGAAAGGGAGAAGAGGAGAAAGGGAAGGGAAAGAAGGCAGATATGGGAGGCAGAAAAGAAAGGAATTAAGGTCACTCCTTCCCTTCTTCCCATCCCTCCCTTCTTTCCCCTCTTCTCTTCCCCTCTTCTTCCTTTTTTCCCTCCTATCCTCTTCTCTTCCCTGCTACTTCCCCTTTCCTCCCTACTCCCTTCCTTTTCTCCCAACCTCAAAGTCCTGCTTGTTTTCTCAGAATTCTTCAGATCAGAAGTGGAGGAAAGTGAAATTAGGACATGAGTAATGGTCTGAGAAAGTCCTGAGAGGTGGAGGGATTGTAGGTTTCTATGATGGCACAGAATCTACTTAAGAAAGGTGAGTCATAGGAAGAGGTAGAATGCCAGGCGGCAACTGAAATGCTAACCACCACCTCTCCTACTTTGGCTATGGATGAAGACACACTTTCCCTCAAAAAAAGAAAATCTCCCAGCCTAGTTTTTCATTCCCGCTAGGACATCCCTCAAGGCCAGCCAGCCCTCTTAAGCTCCTTCCTTCTCTTTTCCAAACCCTGAGACCACAAACACTTCCACCCTTGCATGGGAGTTCCGGAGGGCCAAAAGGATGGAGGGGAGGTATTGAGACAACTGAATATCATTAGAAGGCCTGACCATATGGAAAACCTGTGTGACCCTGTCATTGTCATTGATATTATCTGCCTTAGTTTCCTCATCTGTAAAATGGGGGTGATAATAGCCCCTACCTACCAGGATCGTTGTCAGGATAAAATGAGATAATATTTGTAAAGCACTTTGCAAACCTGAAAGTGCCAAATAATGCTAGTTATTATTATTATTCATTATCATTTTAATAAGGAAGGCAACATGTAGGTAGTTTGATAGATACAAGACATACAAGAGAGATGTGAAGTAGATGGAAGTTAGTTCCAGAGAAGAAGGAACTAGCAGCTGGGGAGACAGGGAAAAGCCTTCTGCCAAAGGCAGAGTCTTAAACATAGCCAGAGAAACCAAGAGGTAGAAATGAGGAAAGAGAACATTACAGGTATGGGGGTGGGCGGTGGGGGCAGAGCAGGCAATAGACAGGTTCAGGAAAAGTTGATGGCGGCTAATGTTAGAGGGACCACAAGCAGCCAGAGCTCGAACATGGCTGACTTAACTCCTAGACTCTTTCCAGAAAACCATCTTCCAGGCCACGCCCGGCCTTCTGCCCTGTCCCCCAGACATGCCCTTCCCTCTGCCTGTTTCTGCCTCTACTCAGAAGGATGCTCACCTTTCAGCTTCTCACCAAACATGGTCAAGAAGACGGTGAAGTTGATGGGACCAGGAGCCTCCTTCACCATGGCTTCCAGCTCTTCATTCTTGACATTGAGACGACCTGTGAGCAGAGGTTCAAAGGGAGTTAAGGGACACTCAGTGGGTGATGGGAAGTGAATTGGACATGTAATCAAAAGAGGAAGGCCTGATTTCTGACTGCCATTTGCTACCTGAGTGACCTTGGGTAAGTCATTTGACCTTTCTGAGCCTTAGATTCCCCATTTATAAAATAAGGCTAGTAATACCTATCCATAAGCTAGGCGGGCACCATAGTGCACAGAATGCTGGGCCTGGAGTCAGAAAGACTTACCTTCCCCAGCTCAAATCTGGACTCAGACACTTACTAGCTGGGTGACCCTGGGCAAGTCACTTAACTCTATTTGCCTCCATTTCCTCATCTGTAAAATGAGCTGGAGAAGGCAATGACAAACCGCTCCAGTATCTCTGCCAAGAAAACACCAAATGGGGTCACAGAGAGTCAAACGTGACTGAAAAAAACCAATTAAAATGAACACAAGGAACTTGGTGGCCTCCCTGTCCCTACAACTGAAGAAGCCGGGAAGCCGGATCCCATTAGTCAGCCCAGCTAGATAAGGTAAGGCCTTTGCTAATAGCCAAAAGCACTTCTTCTAATTGGCAGAGACTCTGAATATTAACTATTCACCGATTCCCCAGGGATCCTCCCCAGCTTGAAGCAGGGCCAGCCCCCAAACCAAAGCCCAGAAACCGGGTCAAGATTCCACCCTCCCTCTCTCTCCCTCCCCAGTGTTCAGTCCTTCTTGACCCAGATAGGAACACACCCACAACATACAACAACCTGGTACTCTACCTGAGATCTCAAACCTCACTCACAATTCCATTAAAACAGGCCCCTCGCTCCCAGCATCAAGCTCTGTATAGAGGAGGGGTTTGCTCAAAACTGAAGGAATGAATATTTTTACTACTTACCTCACAAGCTTATTGTGAGTATTAAATAACAACATGTGTGCAGATGTTTGTGACAGTAAACCATTCTATTAAGTGGAGCTATTGTGACCCTCATTCTAACTCTTTATCTCTGAGCATTACCCAGGGCAGCAAAGGTGTCTCTCAGGTCATTCTTATCAATGAAGCCATCCCGGTTCTGATCCATGATGGTGAAGGCCTAATAAAGAGCAAAAGGCCTGTTAGTACCTGGTTCCTTCTCAACCTCCTGCTCCCCTCCCTCCCTCCCAGCCACGAATATGATTTTATCATCACATGAGAACAAGGGCCCAGATTCTGTTCCACATTATTCATCTCTCTTCAGCCTATGGAACTCTTGGGCATTACATACTTTCAACACATCGATTCATGTTGGTGAGAAGCTTAATCAAATCCACTCAAACTTCCCTTTACCAAATTAACACTTGGTGAAACACGGAGCTGGGTCCCAGCCAATGCTGTTGGCTCCAGCCATTCATTTTAACCCATGAGGGATTTTATTTATGAGGCTCAAGGGATGGTATTTCAATGACCCCAGCCCTCTTCACACCCATTTCTATGGACAGACCAGCTAAATGCCCAATTCATTCTTCCCAGAAAGAAGGAAACTCAAGTTGGGAAAGATGTGGGCATAGTACAGCAAAGCACAGCTTGTCAAGACAATTAGTAGACAGAGCTCAGGAAGAACCATTTTGGATCATAGTTTTAGAGAAGATAGGACCCCCAGAGGCCATGTAGTCCAACCGCCTCATTATACAGATGGAGAAACTGAGGGTCAAAAATGAAGTGATTTACCCAAGGTCTTCTGTGGCAGCCCAGATGCAGTGGGATGAAGTAATGGGCCTAATATTCTCTGACTCACCCACTCCTTTTGGACATCAGTATCAAGTCCTTTTGAGAGGGGGAAAGCCCAGTTTTTAAATCATAGGATGATAGCTTTTAGAGATAGCTTTAGAGAAGGGGCTATAGGGACCAATTTCAACCCCCTCATTTTATGGTTGAGGCACAGAGAAGTGAAATGACTGTTCAAGGTCATGCAGGTATTAACTATCAAAAGACAGGACTCAAAGCCAAGTCCTCTGGCTGCTTAACTACATTGAATCCTCAAGTCTACCTCGCTTTAAGATCTCAATGCACTCTTCAAACACTGGGTGTAAATCCACATTTTATAACTTGAGTCCAATTTCATGTGTGCTCAGAAACTAAGGATGGGAGCTGACAATCTAAAGAAAGTTTTGGGGGTGTATTCCTAGAGCGTATTCAACACCCCAATCTACTCTCTTTTCTTCCTCTTCTCTTTTTTCTCCCCCTTGTTCTTCTCATCTTTTCGGGGTTTTTTTGGTTGTTGGGTTTTTTTGTTTTTTTGGCAATTGGGGTTAAGTGACTTGCCCAGGGTAACACAGCTAGTAAGTGTCAAGTGTTTGGTCTGAGCCGGATTTGAACTCATGTCCTACTGACTCCAGCACCAGTGTTCTATCCACTGCACCACCTAGCTGCTCCTCTTCTCATCTTTTCTTGTCCCTTCTCTTCTCCTCTCCTTTCTTCGTGTCTCTCATCTTTCTCTCTGTCTTCCTACATCTGGATTTTCACACATACAGTTTGCTTAGAGAAACCGGTTTCGACTCAAGTTTGGACAGGTGGGGGCCTTGACGCCATTTTGGAGGCACCAACCTCTTTGAACTCCTGGATCTGGGATTGGTCGAACATGGAGAACACGTTGGAGCCAGCTCCCCCTTCTGTCTTCTTCTTTGCCTTTTTGGGAGCCTGCAAAGAACCAATGTATAGGTGACATCAGTCATTACCACCTCAACATGCAGACACAAGCAGCAGCAGCCACCACGGCCCACGGCTTCCCAACACCGGGGCAGAAAGTCCCCGTGGAAACACCTTGGAGAAAAAGTTAAAAGCCCTATATTATTAAAAACCATATTATTACCATCCCTACCTGTGTTAATAGCCATACCAGCTCCCCACTCCCAAAACAGAGAAAGAGCAAAATCCTACTGAAGCCTTGTAAATAAGTATCACATCTTCCCAGTCCATTACTGTGTAACCAGCCCACCCACCCTTGGGGCATAAGGGAAGGGATCATTAAGCTATAGGGCAATGGTGTTCCAAAGGATGTAACAGTCTCCACCCTCAAGGACTCGAAGAATAGAATCATAGAATTTCCAAGCTTAGAGATCATCTAACCCAGTCCTTTCATTTTACAGACGAGAAGATTAAAGCTCATTCTAATTGCCATTTCCTACGCTTTAAATTTCCATCCACATCCCAACCCAAGCTCCCCCTGCTGAAATGTTCTCCATCCTTCAGATGCCACCCTGTCCATGAAGTTCATCAAAACAACTGCAAAAACATTTAAAAAAATTTAATTAAAAAATTTAAAAAATGTAAAAAAGACAACTGCCTCTCTTCCCATTTGAGGGGTGGGTGTGAGAAAGGGTTATGGATGTTTGTGTACTTCTTTTCTTTTCTACTAGATTACAAGGCCCTTAAAGACAAGGACCAGGTCTAACTCATGAGTTAGAGTAGGTGATTAATAAACGTCTCTTGGACAAATGAAGGTATGGCCCACCAACAAAGGTGGTTGACTATACACGGATTTCAGCAAGACATCTGACAAAGTTGCCACGTGAGCGTCTCCGGTGGAGTCTTGGGGACAAGCCGGACAGATCCAAGCATGATGATGGTGTGATTGAGTGGATTCAGAAATAGCTATATGACTAGTGTTTTCCAGCTGATTGGTCTCATGATCATTCCCACCTCTCTTTCTAATTCCCCATCTTTCCTCATATACTGGTTGCTTCCCAGAGGCCTACAAGCGTGCCTAGATCTCCTCCATCCTTGAAAAACCACCCTCACTAAACCCTACCAACCCCTCAAGCTAGCCTCCTATATCTCTCCTTTCTTTTTTTAAAGCCAAACCCCTCAAAAATACTATCTACGCTCACTGCCTTCATTCCCTCTGTTCTCAGTCTTCAGAACGCACTACAGTTGTCCTTCCACCATCATCCCTCAGCAGCAGCTGCCCTTTCCAGAGTCACTGATGATCTCTTCGTTGTTGAGGCTGGTGCTCCTTTCTTCATTCTTCTCGACTTCTCTGAAGTATTTGAACCCACGGATCACCCTCTCTTCTAGACAGTTTCACTTCTTTGGACATTCGGGACCTTCCTCTCTCCTGATTCTCTTCCTACTTATCTGACCATTCTTTCTCAGTTCCCTTTTAAGGGTCATCATCTACAGCACGCCCCCTAACTATAGTGGTACTCCAAGCCTGGTGCCTGAGCATCATCTCTCCCATTCTCTCTGTCTCTCTGCCTCTGTCTCTCTATTGCTGTCTCCCTCTGTCCCTGTCTCTGTCTCTCTGTCTCTGTCTCTGTCTCTCTGTCTCTGTCTCTTTCCTGAATCCCATACCATCTTTATAGTCTTTCAAGCCTTATTACACATTACTTCCCTCCGAATTATGGTTAAACACTGTGGTCCAGCCAAACTGCCTTCTTAACCCTTCTTTACACAGGATACTGACTGTATCCCCATATCTACAATGCCTTCCCTCCTTAGCTCTATCTCCCCAGAATCCCTAGTTTTTTAAAAGGCTCAACTCACATGCGACCTTCTATATGAGACGTTTCCTGATATCCTTGGTGGTTCATGATGAGAAATCCTGGTATTGGTTATGACCTCCACTGGCGTACAGGGCATTGACACAGATAAAATCACTGATTTATCAACATGTGAAATTCAATGTAAAATCTTGTACTTGGGTCTAAAAAATCAGGATGGACAGAATGAAAGAAGGGCGTGGCAGGGCTAATGCTCATATAAAAATGACCTTGACTTTTTAGTGGATCTCCAGGTCATCATGAGTCAACACTATTCCATGGCGACCAAAACAGTTAATGCAATCTTGGATTGCACTAAGAGAGGAAGACTGTCCAGAAGAAGAGAGGTCCCAATTCTGCTATCCTCTGCCCTGATCAGACCACATAGGAGTGTTAAGTTCGGTTCTGGGCATCCCATTTTTAGGAAAGATGTCAACAACCTCGAATTCATCCAGTGACAGGGAGGAAACTGGAGACCATGCTACATCAGGATCAGTTGAAGGAGGTAGAGAGATTTGGGGTGTAGAAAACTTGGGTGAGAGAGGAAAGCTGTCTTCAAGTGTTTGAAAGATTGGATTACACCTACTCTGCTTTCCCCCAAAGGGCATAAATAGGAACAATGTGTGGAAGTTACAAAGAGACAGATTTCAGTTGATGAAAGGAAAATTTCACGATAATTAGAACAATCCCCAAATGGAATGGCTGCCCCAGGAAGGAGTGAGTTCTATTTCACTGACTAGAGACCAAGATGAGCCTGGAAGACCACCCATCAATATTGCTGTAGAGGGGGGTTGGTTCATGTAACGCCAGCAGTAGAGGCAGAATTCCACAGTGCATAGAGAGCTGGCATTGGAGTCAGGAAGTGCTGGATTCGAGTTCTGACTTGGACACAAACTGACTGTGTTGCTTGAGCTAATTTACTTCACCAGTCAATGCCCCTAGGCAGCTCTCTCAAGGCTGAAGAGATGAAATGCTTTAGGAGAGTTCGTCCTCACTAGCCCCCTACACTGATGAAATCACAATTCTAAGATAAAAAGTAACAAGAATAAATTGAACTAAATTGATAGATTGTCAATGGGAAGGGTGGGCAGGAGGAGGTGTGGACCCAGCTGATCGGGGGACCCATTGATTATTTTAAGAGCCTCATGCTGGTGCTAGAGAAATCATGGCAGTAGAAGCTGGTCCCTGGATGTATGAAGGGGTGTGTGTGTGTGTGTGTGTGTGTGTGTGTGTGCGTGTGTGTGCGCGTGTGCACGCGCGCGAGTGTATACACAGCTGGGTAGTACAGTGCACAGAGGGCTGGGTCAGGACATCTTCCTGAGTTCAAATCCAGCCTCAGAAATTTACCGGCTGTGTGACCCTGGGCAAGTCACTTAGCCCTACTTACCCAGGTTTCTTCATCTATAAAATGAGCCAGAGAAAGAAATGGCAAACCACTCCCGTGTCTCTGCCAAGAAAACCCCAAATGGGGTCACAAAGAGTTGGACACAACTGAAAATAACTGAACAAGAGCAAAGCATGTGTATTTGTATGGGAGAGGAGGAAGGAGCAGTTCTTGGAGGGGTATGAAATCAGAAGGTGACAATTAGTTCATCATTCAGGAGAGATTGACCAGGAACTTGGGAGACAGGTGTGATTTGAAGTAGTGTGTATATAGCAGGAGTGCAAGGGGGGTTGCTGTCTGGCATGACTCATTTGGTGACTGCGAACTGAGGGTCCGCCTTCAGGAATCTGGATCCTAATGACTTCCCCTTTTTTGGTGTCATGGACCATTTGGCAGTCTGGTGAAACTTATAGAGCCCTTCTCAGAATAGTGACTGAATATTCTCCTTTACCAGTCCATAACTGGCCAGTCGGGGGCCTTAAAATTCCACCATTAGAGATTCATTCCTTTGGATCTTTAAGGTTATCTAGTCTTTCAGAATCCTCTGTTAAATATCCCTGATAGTGAGAAAACTACTACCTACCAGCATTTTTGTAGGACTCATAACTCCAGCCAGGTAGTGCAGTGGATAGAGCACCGGGTTTGGAATCAGGAAGACTTCTCTTTATCTTCAAATCTAGTCTCAGATAGTTACTAGCTACGTGACCCTAGGTAAATCAATTCACCCTTTTTGCCTCAGTTTCCTCATCTGTAAAATGAGCCGGAGAAGGAAATGGCAACCCACTTCAGTATCTCTGCCAAGAAAAACCTCACATGAGGTCACAAAGAGTCAGACATGATTGAAAACCCTTGGGACAGAGATATAGGATAGACTCCAGAGAAACAAGGGCTTAGCTCCAAGAAAGCCAAGAAGGATGTATAACTGCAAGAAGGGTGGGTGCCAAAGCCAGACTTCTGGCATCTGTCAGCTATTAATAGAAATTGCCCAGTCCCACCGAAGAAGCCACATGTCATCGTCCGCTCCCCACGGAATGACCGCTTGGGAATCTGGCTTTCCAAGGCTCCAGAGCCTATGAGACTCCCAAGTCTCCACTCCACTCATCAGGGCTCCTTGTGTTCAGACTGCTATTCAAAACCCAGCTCTTAACGCATCAGTCCTGGAAGTTGATACGATTTAGTCTGAGGGGCAGGAGGCTAGGACCGTGAAGGTAATGCAGGCTAGAGGATAAAGGGAGGACAGTGTGAGCTGGGGCCCTGCACACTTGGCCTCCTAGCTGGGGTCAGTAGAAAGAGTACTGAATTTAGAGTCAAAGGGCCTAGGTTTAAATACTGTCTCTTCCACTTACCTGGAGTCAATCGCTTAACCTCTTATTTATTAATCCGTAAAAGGGGGAGCTGGATTGGGTGATCTCACAGGTCCCTCTATACTCCTAGCCTGGCCTGTGGGTAAACGGGACCGCCCTAGAAGGGGAGGAGGTGCATTTCCCCGAAGGGAGGCTGCTTCTCCACAGATCTCTCTCCCTGCCTGACAGACAGCACCAGGTGGGATGGGCAAGCCTGGCACTGCTGAGAAACAGACCCATAAAGAGAAAGGTCCTTGTCAAGAGAATACTGGCTGAGCCAAAGGAGCATGTAATTCAAAGCAACTAGCTGCCTTTCCCCAGATTCCAAGATACACAGCTGTTCTTTAATTAAGCTATTGGGTCACCCAGACCAAGACTATGTGTGTTGTGCCTTCCTCAGGAGGTCACTCATGCAATAAAAAATCAGACCAG